CCTCCCATGGTGAAACTCTGGCTGTTCAGCAAGGTTGCACATGCCAGTGGTAGAACCACCACGTCAGGATGGGAGGAAGAGGAAGCAGTCCCCAGCAGTACACCACAGATTTCTTTGTTGTATCTTGAAGTCATTTTTTGTGTTACTTTGTTATAAGCTTCTAGCCAAGTTCCAGGACACTGAAAGAGTTTTTGATCATTTTTTTCGGTTTTATAATTGCTTTTTTTTTTAAGATTTATTTATAATTGCTTTTAAATTAGAGGATTTGGCTGCCTGTTCACTTTGTCACATCAGATGTTATGCCTAGTAACAAGTTTTGAATTGATATTTTACACATTCACATATTAAAATTAAGTCAAAAAAGATGAGGGGAAAAAGCCTTAGCAAAGGGGGAAAAAAGCCTTACAGAAACAAATTAATGTAACTATCTCAAATTGATCTCATAGAGAAAATAACTCCAGAAACTTCAGTCACAGCACTATGACTAAGTAGGAGATATTCTAAAATTGGAAAGAACAGCAGTGAAATTGTGAATTTTACATAGGCCAACTGTTGGTAGTGATGATCACATGATAATTTTGAAACTTTTTATATATTATAAGGTACAGAAAATGAGTCAATACTGATACATTGTTGTTACTGGGGACTATGAGTTTTCACTGTGGGGGGACAAGGAAGGAGGAGATGAGGAGTCCTCATTTGTTTGTAGTCTTTGACTCATGGGATTTTTGTGTTTTTCTTTCTTTTTTTAAGATTTATTTATTTATGCATACAAGAGCTGGGGTACAGGCCAGAGATGCAGGGGGGTTGGGGAAGGGTGAGAGGACTCACCAGAGACAGAGTGGGGAACAGAACAGGCAGACTGATGAAATACACTGCCGAGGGGAGCAGCAGGCGAGTCAGGAGAGGTCTGCTGCACCATGTGGGTTTCTCCCTCGCCAACCGCCAGGGTTCAAACTTGTGCTGCAGAGGCTGTGGATTGCTTCATAGTGTGGTACTTAACCCCTTGTGCCACCAGGGAGGCCCTGTTTTTTTCTTTTTTAAGATGCATTTTCTGGGCTTCTTCAATGAAAGGGCCTAAAAGCAGTGTCAGTGTAGTAATAGACACCTATTAGATCTTTGTTGCTAAATACACTCCCCACTAAAAGGCTCAGAACTTCTTGGAGAAATGACTGACTGCAAAGCGCTGCATCTGGAGCATAATGTTCACATGTAGCAAAGTCCCCCCTTAGAAGGACAGACCCAGGCCTAGGCAGTCCTGGAAGTGGGCGAGGGAGACTTGGGCAGAAATCCTAACCTAAAAGCATGACCTCAGAGCGCCCTATGGGAGGAATTGGGGGGCCAGAGGAGGACTTGCCAGAGGCACCTCTTGCCCAGGTCCAGTAGCCGTACAGCGTGGCTGTACAGTCTTCCACAGCCCATGAAACTGCTGAAGTGGTAACATCCCAAACTTTTGCCAATGCTTTTATTGTCTTTGCAATATTAAATACACACACAAAACTGTGAGTGATAATTGAATTCCCAGATTAGAGACAGTACATTATATATAGTCTATATTCAAAGGAGGATCATATGGGAAAGTGAAAGATGGCCTGGGGGGAGATATCATTTCTGCTAGACTTGGAACGCTAAGCGGAGACAATTTGGTTTGGGCAGGTGCAAGGAAGATGTGGAAGAGAAACGACACTCCAGCGTGGGGATATAAGCAAAAAGAGTGGAATGAAGAATAAGCACAGTGAGTTTTGAGAGACAATAATGACTTGTGCTGGTAGTAACTAAAGGAGATAAGATTGACTAGGTTGGAATAGAAGTATAAAGAAGAGATTTCTGAATCTTGATTTTTCTTACCTGTAAAATGAGTAAATGCCTCCATGCCCATCTCTCAGAACTGTCTTGAAAAGCAAATGAACTAATGAATGTGACAGGGGTATTAAGCAGTGAAATGCTATAATGCTATAGGTTGTATTGCACTTCGAATACCAGACTGAAAAGTTTGCAGTCACAGTAATAACCATATGAATAAACTGCAGGCGTCATCTGAATGGGATTTTCCTTGACTGACAGTTCCTGTGATTTTCCGATGTAAAATGATGTCACTCTCCCCCCTCCCCCCAAGTGATGGGGAGGAGTGCTGAGTAAAGAGCCCTACAACATTTCTTAAGATGGTTCCCATTCTTAGAGGAATAGCGTTTTAGAGCAGAAGTGAGGCCTTGCTGGAATGTGTTTAGAGGCTCTGTGGGGTGTGGTGAGGACTCCAAACCACTTGAGACCAGAACCCAGAAAGATGTGGGCCTGATGATGGTGCCAAACCTCACTCAGCCAGCTCACTGCGTGTGAAGGCTCAGCACTGAGTGTGCTAAGTGAGATTTCTGCACTGCACATCTGCCCTTGCATTCCTGAAACATGACAGTCTGCCTGCCCGTTCCTGTGGGGAAAGAGTATGAAGCAGCCAGATGAACCCTAGTCCTTGCACTGCTGCGATGAAGTTTGTCTGTTGGCACAGCTGGAGATAGTGCATACTTGGCAGAGTGCTATTTTTAGCTGTTTCCAAGGAGATGTTTAGCATGATATTGATAATTGCATTAATCCTCAATCTACACAATCTGTGGAAGCAGGCACACTTTTCCAGTGTTTCCTGCTTACTGGGCCACTAAGCTGTGATTTATCAGCCAAAAAAATAAGATGCCTTCCTTAGAATAATTGGCCTCAGAAATGTGTTCTGGAGCCCTTCTTTGCCTGTGTCCTCTTCTAGTTAGACACAGTGGGCTGCTTTCCTCTGGCTGACTGCTCGTGCTGGCCCTTATGAGTAGTTCCTTCTGGGTATACCTTGGATCTGGGCTTTGCCCTTTGGGATCTTTTACCAAAGAATGATTCGGCTCTTAACACACGTGTGTGTACACAAGCTATTCACGAGCCTGATCTGGCAGTCTGAGTGATTCATTTGTGTTCATAGAACATTCCTGACAAGTTAGCACTGGAGGACAAACTTGAGCTTGAAATTGGAGTTAAAAGCAGAAGAAACTGAAAGTTTTAAAGAAGAGTTCATTAAACTCTAGTAACTTGAGTTGCCTATCTTAAAATTTGTTTGCAAATAAGTTTTAATCAGTCTTGTTATAGGGTTGTCTTAGCTTCCAGCATCTAATCTTACCCTTCCTGTTTGGAGTCATTCTCCCATTGAGCGCTCAGTATTATTGAGTATGCCTGTCCCTCACTCCATCCTCTGATAGACAAGGTGTGTTACCTACACTTGACCTGTTGGATGACTCTGACCAAGACTTTGACTCTGGATGGGAGCAAAGAAATTAGGATTCCTTTGTAGTCCTTGCAACCCTGTCCTGGCCAGAATGTTCCATGAAGGACATTGACTGCTTTCTTGCTTCCTAACAGCTCTGCCTTGAGTCCATCCTCTCATTGATTCCTTGAGCCCCCAATACCTTTCCAGTAAATCTGTCCCCTTAAAATTTTTCATGAGGGGCCTCCCTGGTGGCGCAGGTGGTTGAGCACAGCACTGTGAAGCTGTCTGCAGCCTCTGCAGTGCTGGTTCGATCTTTGATCCCTGCCGGCCTCAGAGCAACCCACATGGTAAGCAGACCTCTCCTGTCTCGCCCACTGCTCCCCTCAGCAGTGTATTTCGTCAGTCTGCCTGTTCTGTTCCCCACTCTGTCTCTGGTGAATCTTCTCACCCTCCCGCACATCTGGCCTGTACCCCCGTTCTTGTATAAATAAATCTTAAAAAAAAAAAAAAATTCATCTGAGACAGAAATCCTGTCTACTACAATAGAGCACTCTGATCCAGCACCTCCCTCCTGGGTAGTGAGGCCACATACTCACGTCTTGAGTCCCATCACATTAATTGCATTTTTCTGTGTTCCTTATGCTGTATCTTAAAATGAATCTGCTGTATATGCTGTACATCTGGTACACAGTAGATAGTATAGGAATTAGATTGTGTCTATTTGCCACAGCTCTGTTTCATTGAGAGCATGTTAATAAGACATTTGGAATGTCCCATGGCCTCAGCTGTGTATTTCCAAGTCTTCTCTGAAGACAGTATATTTTTACTTTGGTTTGTAATCTCAAGATTACCAACTGTTGAGGCCCCACATTTCTCGTATGTATGGAATACTCCACTTTTTTCCTCCCTTTGAAGTTTTTATTTAGTAAAAAACTTCAAGAATAAAGGAAGAGATATTTGAAGATTCTGTAGTTTTTTGTTGTTATTTTTAAGGCACTATCAGAAAGTGGCAGGTAGACGCTGCCAGAGCTGCTTGTGTACTTACTGTTTTGCTCAGAAACCTGGGCCTTACACAAGTCAGCTTTGCTCTGCAGAGTAGCGTTCACTCTGCCTTTGAGTTTGACAAGCGGTTTGGCCTTCTGTGAGTCTGTGTGCGTGAGAACAATCTAAGAAAAAAGAGATTTGTGTATCTGGGTTTCTTCACATTTCCCGGTTGGCCTGCTAGCAGTGGGCTGCACTGACTTGCAGGTGAAGCCTAATGCCTATCATGCACCTTCCTCATGCAAGCCATAGTTGTAGCTAATTAGCGCTCATATTTTTGAGCCCTTATTTACTAGTCACTGGATTACACATTCATTATCATATTAATACATAAAACTATTAAAGCCTCATTTTTATTAGCTGAGGAAACTAAGGCTCAAAAAGATTTAGAAATTGTCCAGAATCATGCAATTAACAAGTAACAAATGCAGAATTTGGATTTGGATTTACAATGATCTGTATACCAGTGAGTATGTTGTTTAGTTTCATTTTGAGTAAAGAGAAATTAAATGATGCAAAGGAGAAACAAGAAGCCTAGTTTTATGTTTTGAACACTAAATGTGCAGTTGACCAAGTGGGTATGTGTTTTTCTATATCTCTTTGAGATTTAGATAAAATGGACTCAGTTCTCAAAAATTAAGTTCCTGTCTATTAAATGGCTAATGTGTAAAGAAAACTGACAACAAAAACATTGTGTGACATGTGATTCTCTTATCTCTTTCAGAAAAGAAGAGAGGAGAGCACTAGACTAAAGGAGGCAGGGAATGAACAGTTCAAGAAAGGAGGTAAGACCAAGACATGGCCTAGAAATAGGGCTGCAGAATTGATGCTACTAGTAAGGATGGGAACAAGGGACAGGGATCCAGGAGTCTAGACTAAAGGACTCTGGGTGCTTTAGTGTGGTGACATACATCTGAAGCAGTGGGAACCTGTTCCCCTACAGTGTTGTTAACCATTGTTACCTCAGTAAAAGGAAGGAAGGAAGGTGATAGGAGCTATTTTAGCGCTGATGTCTGGTCATCGTTAACTGCTCATTCTTTTTCAAGTCTGAAAGAAACACCAGAGAACTTTTGCAAACAACCAATAAACTGTTAGCAATGCAGTCTTACCTCCCGATACTTTGAAATGTTGTTTGTGACCAGGTTCCAGTGGTTCTCAGATGACAGTGACCAATTAACTACTGTCATGACACAGGCACGGGCTGGATTTTTCTTTTCTGCAATCCACTATCTTTAAATTAGGAGGAAAAATTTCCCAGCAGTTGCTTTGGAAACTCCAGCCTTGACTGTTCAAGACCTTTTGCTGTGTTGCGGTACGGGGTTCCCGCTCTTCCCGGCAGCAGTGCGCTCACAGACCAGCAATTTCAGGCTCGTCTGGGGAGGGATTTTGTTTGTAATTTGGGTTGCTCTTTTGTGTGCTATTTTGGGGGGATGACTTAAGAAGAAGATGTTTTTCATGACTCTCTGCATTTCCAACACTGATTTAGCAATAGGTTGAGTTCACACTGGTAATTTCAGGAATGTGTTTGATCTTCAAATAGCCTTCTATCATGACTTAAACAGTATATGCTTTAGAAATCAGAAGTGACAACATCTTTCCCCTAGTTATTTTTAGGTTAATTTTTTTTTTCCCACTTGGTATTCTGTTTATTGTAAGACATTGTGATTTCCCAAGGATGGTTCAGAAAAAATATGGAACACTTCACAAATTTGCGTGTCGTATTTGCTGATCTTCTCTGTATCGTTCCAATATGTGCTTCCAAAGTGAGCACTTAGGTTAAATTTTTTTGTTCTGATATCCTGGTTTAGTTATCACTTTTTTTCTAAGAGAAGTAACTAATTTTCCTAATTTTGAAGTAACTAATAACTAATTTTCCTAATTTTGAAGATATATCTCTTTGTGTTTTGGTGTTAAATATTTCAAACCTGAGAAAGAAGTGAATAGACAATTTTTTCTTAGTGCCCTGAACTTTTTATGTAGCAATGAGTATATCAATTTTTTATCATCTTTCTTTAAGACCTTTAGTCAACTATTGATTTTTACACTGTTGCTTTTACATAGGATTTTTTTCTCATTCCAGACCAGATTATTAGAATGAACTGAATTCCTAATTTTAGTCTACTTCATTTGTCCAGTTCCCTAATCCCTAAACTCCTTCAAAATCCCTTAGTTAATTGATAAGTCAAATGAGAGCTGAACATCCAGAGCATTCTACTTGAAACCTTTGTCCTGTGAATGGGAAGTATACCTCCTGAGACCCTATGGAGTACAGTAGTATTGGGAATAAAATCATATGAACTTTGGTCTTTTATCCTCAGATTATATAGAAGCTGAGAGTTCTTACAGTCAAGCCCTTCAGATGTGCCCATCCTGTTTCCAAAAAGACAGGTCTATTCTGTTCTCAAATAGAGGTGCCGCAAGGATGAAACAGGTATGTTTGCCTTTTGTTTTTAAGAAGCCTGTGAACTTGCAGTGTTTTCATAGGGTAGCTTCTCTCCCAAAACAAGCACAGGGGTTTAAAGTTGCATCTCCCTTTTCCTGCGCGTGTATTTCCCTGATATAAAGGGCACAGGAAGGATAGAAAGAGATTTTGAGAAACAAAACTCAGATTACTGTTAACATTTCCCATTTTAATGGCTGAGGAACACTTTAGAGAAGACTGGCAATTTCCACCAAACGAGGGCAGGTTAATGAAGTGAAGGACCAGGTAGTGCATGTCCTAGAATAGCTACTGCTGCTTATTTTAGGCCTCTGGAATTCTAGATAAAGACTCTAAGGGACAAGATAACACTCATGAAAACACTGGGCTTAAAGACGCTTAGTCCTAAGATTCTGATTTTCCTGTTGAAAGTGCAGACACAGGGAGAAGTGTGCAACAGCTGGGGTGAGAGGTGCCCTTAAATGCAAAATCGGTGCTGGGGAAAGTTCTAAAGTGTTTTGTATTTCCAGAGAATTAAGAGCCCGACATAGCAGGGTGATTGAGGAATTGATAACAGCGCAGTATTTGTTTTATACCAAGTGGGTATTAGAAGTTAGATTTGTTGCTGATTTGTCTGATACTCCTGTTCACAACATAGTAAATCTTGCTGTATTGAAATGGTGAGTTTTTTGAAAAAACAAACCACTTGTTTAAATTAACTTTGGCCACTATAGCCAAGGCACAAGGCATGGGTTATTTCACATACCTGTACGCAGCCATGAGGCAGGCTCAAGATTGAGTGAAGTGGTGGTTGGTTGGTGGTTGGTATCAGACATCCCTGTCACTTTTGTTTTGATGTTGCCTCAAATTCTTCAGTTCCTCTACTGAGAGTCACTGTGGATGACCAGGTTGGATTTTTGTTTTTTGTTTTTATTTTAAGGGCCGGGGTTGGAGCAGGCATGCTTGAATCCTTGGGTATGCAGAAAACTTTTCAAACCCAAACTTGTATATTTTATTATTGGATTCAATCTCCAGGATGAAGAATTTTTAGTGATTTATATGACATAGGAAAAGATAATTCTAGCATATACAAACACATTTTGTTAGGTAAAATGAAGCAACTTTTTTTAGATTACATAAAACTATTCATTAATTCATTACCACCTATTAGAATCCACACCTAATTGTTTTTAAATGTTGCTGGAAAATTCTGATCTTTTAGCATTGGCTTCTCAGAGACATCTTGCCACTCTTCAGATTGGAAATTTTCAGTGTGAAATGGAATGAGGGATTCCTTCAGTGTCAGAGAAAATGTGCCAAGTTCATTGGAGCTGGGGATTTGAAATTCTTGCTTTCCGCAATTTCCACTTTATTGGTACTGGGTTAAGATTGGACCAGCATAATTGACTAGTTCCTGAGTTAGAAAATGTGTGCTCTAACTTGTCTTTTGTCTGTCACATCTGACGAGAACTGGAAAGATAGTTGCCTTGTGACCATTCCCTGTACAAAAGATGGGTTTGTTAGTGGGTTATTTATTTATTTATTTATTTATTTATTTATTTATGCATACAAGAACTGGGGTATAGGCCAGAGGTGTGGGGGGTGAAAGGATTCACCAGAGACAGAGTCAGGAATAGAACAGGCGGATTGACTGAAATACACTGCTGAGGGGAGCAGTGGACGAGTCAGGAGAGGTCTGCTGTGCCATGTGGGTAGCTTCCTGGCCGGGAATTGAACTCATGCTTCAGTGGCTGTGGATAGCTTCATACATTGCATCTTAACCCCTTGCGCCACCAGGGAGGCTCTGTTAGTGGGTGTTTTTGTTTTGTTTTAAGTTGCACTCTTGATATTCTAAGAAAGATTCTCATATGAGAGATCTGAAAACTTCCAGATTTAATGCACTGAAGTGACTTATGAAACATGTTCTGAGTTTTTCACAGAAAGTATGGTTAACTACTTTAAGAATTTCTAAAAGACAAGTTTGCAGGCTTAGCACCCCTGACTGGATTCATTGGCCAGGCTTTCCATTTCACATCTGGAGCCAGAAAAAGGCAAATGGGTGTGAAGATAGAGTTTGAGGCTTATCCTGAGAATAAGGGTTTTTTTTTTTAACTGCTTTTGTGTATTATGTACACTGTTTTACCTATGTGTGTATATATATTCAAATTATGAAAGAATGGTTAATGAGTTTTGGTTTCTTTACACCATCACTTTAGAGACTGTCCCTCTAAGCACAGATAACCTGAGTCCCCTGAAGTGTTAGTCAACTATAAGCCTCACACAAAGTATTCCATGATAAAACTTCAATTCTTTAATCTAAAGCGGTCATTTGATGAGAATAAGATGAACTGCATCTCAATAACAACTACAAGGGACACTAAGAAAACCACCACACAGTGGTACACTTAAGTTGTAAAGACTTACTCCTATTTCAGAAAATTTAAAATATGAAGTTGTGGATCTTAGATTTACAGAAATCTGATGGTTAAAGGAAACTGACAATACAAAATCACACAGATTTCTTTACCGCAGGAATTCTTGGAGCTTTTAGTGTGCAAATTGCTATGCTGGACATTGACAGAGATAAAGAATAGTGTTTCCCAGGTGACTCTGGAAACTTTGTTGTTTAGTGTGGGTGAAATACACATGACATCAACTTGACCTTTTTAACCATTTTAAAGTATACAATTCAGTGGCATTAAATTATGTTCACAGCCATCACCATCCTTAGCTGGTTCCAGAACTTTGCCATCACTCCAAGAGGAAATGCTGGAACTACTCCACATACCAGCATTGTTTTTACTGAATCCCAAAATACAGTTTGCCTAAATTGCTTTAAAGCATTATGAAGAATATTTAGTATTTGGGCCTCCCTGGTGGTTCAGGTGGTTGAGCGCAGCACTGTGAAGCTGTCCGCAGCCTCTGTGGTGCCGGTTCGAATCCTGCTGGCCACGGAGATACCCACATGGCGAGGCAGACCTCTCCTGTCTCACCCGCTGCTCCCCTCAGCAGTGTATTTTGGTCAGTCTGCCTGTTATGTTCACCGCTCTGTCTCTGGTGAATCCTCTCACCCTCCCGCACATCTGGCCTGTACCCCGGTTCTTGTATAAAAATAAATAAATCTTTAAAAAGAAAAAAAGAATAGTATTTTTTACAGTCGGTATTAAGGAAGAATTAAACTTATTCTTTGAACTAAGTTTTCTGGAATATTGCAGAAACTAATTTGGAGAAAATAGACATTTTTAGAGCTAGAGGGGTTAAATAGGTTAGAGTCCAATCTGGAACTAGAATCCAGTTCTTTCAACATCTTTCCATTATACCATGCTTCAAGAGTCAGCAAATTAAATTAGTTCAATATAGGACCTCCCTGGTGGTGCAAGGGGTTAAGCACCACACTATGAAGCAATCTGCAGCCTCTGCAGCATGATTTCGATCCCCAGCCGGCCAGGGAGCAACCCACATGGCTCAGCAGACCTCTCCTGTCTTGCCCACTGCTCCCCTCAGCAGTGTATTTCAGTCAGTCTGCCTATTCTGTTCCCCACTCTGTCTCTGGTGAATTTTCTCACCCTCCCATATCAATGGACTGTGCCCCAGCTCTTGTATGTATAAATAAATAAATCTTAAAAAAAAAATTAGTTCAATATATTTGGTGAATTCTTTTGTATTTCTGCTTCGCCAATGGGTAAAGTAAGGTTTCAGCTTATGTCATTAGATTTTTTGGGCCATTAAGATAAATCATGTTAATGTTCTATACATGTTGATGTTGTGTTTTTATCTTTCAGGACAAGAAAGAGATGGCCATCAGTGACTGCAGCAAAGGTACAGCTTTTTGATCTTGTTTACATGTTAAGATACAAAAGCAGTCTCAGCTCTTTGGACAGTCACAGACGCTCTGTCCAGGTGTGCACTTGTGCATGTGTGCCCTTAGAGTTGCTGTCCAGTACTTGTTTTAGCGTAAGCATGCATTTGGAAGAATAGTTCGGCTCCCCTATCCTGTGGTAGTAAATATGTAATGAAAAATTCAAAACTCCCTTGGTAACAGAAACTCACGGGACATGATTTAATTTCTAGAGTGTCCAAATGCCTTTCTTGTTGAGATTCATATTGAAGATCTTCACTTCTCTTAGAGCACCTATATCTGTGTTTGGATGGGAGGGCAGGGAGTGTAGGTGGCGTAGCTGTGGTGAGGGGCAGATTCTTTTAGGGAATTGGTAGACTCTTCAGATGTAATTGTTGTCCTAAACCTACTCATATCACTTTTTTTCTTTTTTTTTTTCCAATTGAAGTAATGTTGCATTATAACATTATATAAGTTCATTGTTGAGAATCAACAGGAGTGTGTATTACATTACGTTCAGCACTTAAAAAAGTTCAAATCTAACCTTCACCATACTGTTGTCCCCTTTGTCTGGATTTACCACCTGCTTCCCCTTTGCCATCATTTTAATTACCTTCAAGGTTCTGCACAGTGAATCTAGCCTTTGCTATACATGTTTGCTCATCCTGTGTCTGAGTTCCACTGAGGTCTTTTCATGCCACCAACTTAGACACCCAGACTAGACTCTGTCATCTTTGTTTTTGCATAGAACTGGGGTCTGGGCCAGAGGTGTGGGCAGTGAGAGCATCACCAGAGACAGAATGGGGAGCAGAACAGGCAGATTTACTGAAATAGACTACTGAGGGGAGCAGCAGGTAAGACGGGAGAGGTCTGCTGCGCCATATGTGGGTCAGCTCCCTGGCCTGCGATTGAGACTTAACCCCTAAGTCACCAAGGAGGCCCCTACTGTTTTTGTCAACAAAATTCTTCATAGAGCAGACGGTTGTCTTTCTAAACAGCTTTGTGTGGAGACTCAAATGATCACATTTCCTTGCCTTTCTTCCTTTCTATTCTTAGAGATTTTTCTAGCTAATTACTTCTTTAGGTGATTTGTATGTGTGTGTTTCCCTTCCTTGTGTAATATTTTCTCTGGGAGAATCAGAATTGGAAAGAACCTTACTTGTTATCTTACTCATACTAAACTTGAATTCTATTCTTTTTTTTTTTTTTCCATTGTCACTGTCTTGGCTTTCTTTTATTTATACTTGGTATTTCTTTATGTAGCAAAATGAAAGAAACAGTTACTGCATTTGAATCTAGCAGACTAAATCTAATTCTGAATGTACTGTTTTGTTTGGAAGAAGGTGTTTAACCTTCCTCTGTATGAGTTTGTGTGGGTATGAAGAGTTTGAATTAGGAACAAGCTGCTGATTTTCAGAGTCCTCTCTCTGACCAAGTGGTGAAAAAGTATCAGTGAGCTTGATTAGCAAACAGTTAATTTCTTTCTAGAGCCCTAAAAGTGAGCACCTAACAAGAAAATGAGAGTGAGCAGGTCTTCTCCAACCAAAGTGTTTTCCAGATTTGTTTTTGCATTTGGTTAAACCAATATTCATGTGTTTATGCACCGTCATGTGAGCTTCATACATCGTACCCATAGGTAAGAGATACTCAACTGCTGAGGTCTGGCACCCCTTCTCCCAACACATGCACTCTCTGTTCATAAACCTTTTTTGCAGAGGACTTAACATCTTATTTCTGAGATCTTAATAGTAAAGGCTTATTTCTTTCTCTTTATATGACTTGGAAAACAATCACATGTGCAATACCTTGGTTTTTACAGAAATAGTCATGGGAAAATTCCTTCTCTTCAATACATATTTGCATTATCAGAAGCTATTCACTAGTTTGAAAGGTGGCCCATTCTGGATTAACATGTAAATTAGGGCATTCTTTGTCTTTAAAAGATGTATAGCAAGTCATTGAAGTGTTTTTCTTCTTTTTTTTTTTTTTTTTAAGATTTATTTATTTTATTTATACAAGCACTGGGTACAGTCAGAAGCGCGGGAGGGTGAGAGAATTTACCAGAGCCAGAGCAGGGAGCAGAGCAGGCAGAAGGACCGAAGTACACTGCTGAGGGGAGCAGCGGGCTGCAGGAGAGGTCTGCACGCCATGTGGGATCCTCACCTGGAGGCCGGGGTTCGAACTGGTGTTGCAGAGGCTGTGGGCAGCTTCGCAACCCGGTGCTCAACCACCATGCCACTGGGGAGGCCCCACTGAAGTGTTTCTCCTGTGGTTACTGTGTTGTCGTTTGGAGTATTTTAAGAGAATGTGCTATATGGGACCAAGGTGTGGTTGACAGAGAACATATAAAGTTGAAATATTAAGAGTTTTGGATTCTTTCAGAAAACCGCGTGAGGGGGTATAGCTCAGGGGTAGAGCATTTGACTGCAGAAAACCGCGTGAGCCAGTGTCCCCGTCCTGCTATGTACCATCTATCTCTTTGGTCCTCTTCTGTTGCGTTAGCCACACCACACTGATAATGGGAGTCATGGAGCAGGCTACATAATGTAGGATGCTGCTGAAAGAGCAAGATCCTGGCCTTTTGATTCTTAGCATAATCACACAGCATCAGTTGTGTGGGGAAGGAAAATGTGCTCTGTCATCTCTAGTATCTGGGGTCTTGAGTCTGCCCCCCAGGCGCTTCTCATCTGCTTTATGACTCGGTATTGAGATTGAAATCAAGCTGTAGATCCCCAGCGATGGTTTCAATCTTATCAAGGCATTCCACTGTTCAGCTTCTGGGGTCCCTTGTCATACATCAGTTAACACCCGTGCCCCTCTGCCCCCCCAGGCATTCCCTGTCATACCTTGTGATGCATACCCTTCCCAGGGTCACCAAACTTTCTGCTCTTGATTGATTTGAAAGGCACCTTGACCAAGTAGTTCTGACCTGGTATAGGAATGCAAAACTAGGTGACAAAAATGGTGACTTTACAGGCCATTTAGCAGACCCACACTTTTTTTTTTGGTACTGATTTTTTTTAATATAATTTATTTATACATATTTTACATCATTGTTCATTTTTATACAATGTTTGCTTTCCCCTCTCTGGTGTAGTCCCCAAAGAATTCCCACCACCAATTCACCCATGCACCATCACCATAGTCCCTTGTGCTCTTCCCCACCCCACCCCCATTCTGATCCCTCTCCTTCCCTACCTCTGCAGAATGTCTCTGATTTATAGTTGCCTGCCAATTTTTTTGCTGCTGCTGCTGCTGTTTTTTACCTGATCCCTTATTTGGTTCTACTGTATTCCTCCTATAAATGAAACCATGCAATAGTTTTCTTTTTCCTTCTGACTTATTTCACTGAGCATAATCCCTTTTAGCTCCTTCCATGTTGCTATGAATGGCATTAGTTTATCTCTTTGGATTACTGAATAGTATCCCATTGTGTGTATGTACCACATCTTCTTGATCCAGTCATCTATTTCTGAGCATTTGGGTTGTTTCCATATCTCACCTATTATAAATAGTGCTGCAGTAAACATAGGGGTGTATGTATCCTTTTGAATTAATGTTTTTGTGTCCTTTGGGTAGATTCCTAGGAGTGGAATTGCTGAGTAATATGGAAACTCCATCTTTAGCAGATTGAGGAATCTCCACACAGCTCTCCATAGTGGTTGGACCAGTTTGCATTCCCACCAGCAGTGTAGGAGAGTTCCTCTTTTCCCACGTCCTTGCCAACATTTGTTGTTGCTAGATTTTTTAATATGTGCCATGCTCACTGGTGTAAGGTGGTACGTCATTGTGGTTTTGATTTGCATTTCCCTGATTATAAGGGAATTTGAACATTTTTTCATATACCTGTTGTCCATTTGCATTTCCTCTTTGGAGAAGTGTCTTTTTAGCTCTTCTGCCCAGTTTTTGACTGGATGGTTTGTTGAGTTGTGTGAGTTCTTTGTAGATTTTTGTGATCAGTCCCATACCAGTGTGTGGAATGCAAAAATTTTCTCCCAATCACTTGGCGTCTCTTTGTTTTGGTTAATGTCTCTTTTGATGTACGGAAGCTTTTTAGTTTGGTGTAATCCCAGCTGTTTATCTCTTCCTTCACTTTCTTTGGGGGATGAGTCTGTAAAGATGTTATGAAGATGTATGTCATACAGTATTTTACTTGTATTTTCTTCTATATATTTTATGGTTTCAGCAGAGAATTGCCTCTACTGCTGTGTCTTCTCCCATTCCCTCCTCATCCTATAGCCATTAGGCTTCTGTTTCATCTGAGCTACTGAAACCTATCTATAAAGATTACCAACAGCTTCTTACTCAGTACAGTAGTGTTTCTCTGTCCTCACCTTACTTGACCTCTGCAAAGCATTTACTATGGTGTGTCATTTTTTGTTTTTTTTTTCCTGTTTCATTGACTTTTTAGCCATTCTGCAGCCTTGTTAACCTTACCATCTGGAAATCTCTAGATTTTAGTCTTACACAGGGCCTTTTTTTTTTTTCCCCCTATTTTTTTCCCTGTGTGATCTCATCCAGTTCTGAAAAATGTCATCTCTGTGTTACATTTTGAATCTTCAGCTCTCCTTGCATTCCATGTGAACTGGACCTCTCTTTCTTGGATGTCTGTTAGGCACTCCAAATTTAAAGTGACTGGAACAAACTGCGCCCGCGCGCGTGCACACACACACACCACCACCCCCACCACCCCCTTGCAATTAGGAGTTACCATTTCTGATTAAGGGGCATTACCTTCTATTCACTTGCTTCAACTAAAACCTCTGTAGTTATTCCTGATTGTTTTCTTTCTTTCATTCGACATAGCTTGACTAATTAGCAAGTCTTAGGGGTTCTAATTCAAGGATTTGCAATAAACCTGGCCTCTTTCCCTCTCTGCATCTACCAGCATTGGCAACATCATCTCTCTCGCCAGGCCACTACACAGGCTTCCCAGCTCTCACGCTAACCTCCTCCTACTACAGCCAAAGGATGCCTAAAATTGTAAATCAGATTATGTCTTTAGACTGCTTAAAACCATCCCAGTGGCTTCTCATCACACTTGGGGAAATGTCCAACTCCTTTCCCTGACCAACAAGCTTCCGGAATCTGGTCTTGATACTGGGCAGCAAGGGGCACTAAAACGCCACAGACACTACCCAAATAACTTATCAGTCACTGTCTGAGTTCTTCACCCATGCACAAAATTCCAAGACTGCTCAGGCTCAGAGAACAACATGGGATTTATTTAACAAACCAGGGAAAAACAAAGATTTACTGAGTCCCAAAATGGCCATTTACCTCATCCAAAGCAGTGTCCTATGTTTCCAAGTCCTAAACAGAAAGCATCTAAGGTCATGTCTTCCCGCCACTGAGAACACAGAGCTCCTCCCCCAAACAATAGGCCCTGTGCCCAAGAGGGCATCTTCCTGCCACTGTGGCAAGTGGCAGCCAGACTTATAGGCCAGGTTCCAACTCATGAAGACAACAGAAGACACAGCAGGAAATGTTCCCCGAGCTGCTGAGATGCCCCAGCACAGCACCAGACAAGCAACACTCCAAACAGCAGCTGCAGTGGCTGAACGACCTGACAAATGGCCACACTCACGCAGCTCAGAGAGGGGCCCAGCTCCGGGTCTTCGCCTTCTCTGCCAGGCTGTAACAGCAGCAAAACCAGGAACAGTTCAGTTGCTTGGCTACTTGCAAAGCTTCTGAAGTTTTCCTCTCTGAGGTTGGCTGTTGGAGGCCTCTCCATGTTCAGAGGCCCACAACAGTCTTCTAGAAGATCGGCACGGTGGGGCTGAAATTGCTGACCCCAAAAAACACTGAATCCCGAATGCTGAATAAATCCTAGACTGCTTCTGCAGTCCCTTATATTTCTTATCAGTTGTTCCACCCCAAAATGTGATACTTTTTAGCATTTTTCATGAAGCTAGCTATCCTCACCAGCACCCACCTTGAGGAGGCACTACCAGTCTTTGGCTTCAGCCACTGGTTACAGGCTTTGTCTATATCTTCAGCTTCATCTCTTCCTGGTACATACCTCCTTAGCTTCTCCAGTGGCTGGAGAATCTCCTTTAAAGATTCCTTCTTCAGGGCCTCCCCGGTGGTGCAGCGGTTGAGCGCTGGGTTGCGAAGCTGCCCGCGGCCTCTGCGGCGCCTGTTCGATCCCCGGCTGCTCCCCGGCCACCAGAGGAGGGTCCCACATGGTGCGCAGACCTCTCCTGCCACCCGCTGCTCCCCTCAACAGTGTACTTCGGTCCTTCTGCCTGCTCTGCTCCACACTCTGGCTCTGGTGAATTCTCTCACCCTCCCGCGCTTCTGACTGTACCCAGTGCATGTAAAAACAAAACAAACAAACAAATAAAATAAATAAATAAAACATGCCTCTATTAAAAAAAAATATTAAAAAAAAAAAAAGATTCCTTCTTCATAGTCTCTGATCTTCTCTGAAGTTACTTTATTCCCCCTTCACTTGAATTCACATTACTTTGTTTTATTTTTCTCTATCACCCTATGATCATCTGAAATGATTTACCTGTATGCTCTTGTTTCTAGACTAGCATAAAACCTCATGAGAACAAAGACCTGGTCTGTCCTTTTACCAGTTTACTCAAGAGATATGTTAGGTAGATCTAGTAAGTAAAAATAAATACTGAAAACTTGAATGCTTAAAAGTCAAGGCTATATTATGTGAAGAGGAAAAAAATGTTCTAGAGCCATGACATGGCCTTCTAACAGAAAAAGACACAACTCAGAGGGAAATAGAAGGATCCCATGTACTTGAGCCAAAACACAGACAAAGGACGATTAGAAGGGCAGTCACTGCTGAATAAAGGAAAGGATAGTTTGTATCAGTAATCTATAGCTGGAACAGTTTTTTTTTTTTTTTTAATAATATTTTATTTTTATATTCCCCATACAATTGCAATCCCCCATTCTGACCCCAATCCCTCCCCTCCCGCCCCCCACCCTCCAAAAAGTGTCTCTGGTTCATAGTTTTTGTTGATTTTGATTTTCACTTTCTTATAGTTATTCATTTTCCTGGTCCCTTATTTAAGTTTTCTAGATTCCTGCTATGAGTGAGACCATCCGGTATTTTTCTTTTTCTTTTTGGCTTATTTCACTGAGCATGATCCCTTCCAGCGTCATCCATGTTGCTACAAATTGCATGTGTTTATCTTTTTTGAATGCTGAGTAATATTCCATGGTATATATGTACCACATCTTCTTGATCCAGTCATCTATTTTTGGAACAGTTTTTTAAAGGAACACAAAGGTTCGACTAAAATGTCACCTGAGTAATCTTGATTTGACCTTAGCTGTTGGCCCTAGGAAAAAGAGAATGATGGTAGAATTTGCCTTTAAGCTCTTTTCCCTCAGCTCTTTCATTTGTACCTTCAAGTGCTCTCTCTTTTTTTCACTGTGACTCCGAGCCCTGTGTTTTGGCTTATTCTCAAGTGGTGAAGGACATGTAGGTAAAAACAAGGACTTGAGCTATAGACGTAGGTCTGGCCACAAGCCAGATACAGCCTCCTACCAGCATTTTTAGAACCTGTGAGCTGAAAATGGTTTTTTACATTTTTAAATAGTTGGAACTAAAATCAAAAGTATTTCATGGCAGATGAAAATTATGTGAAATTCACATTTCTGTGTCCATAAATGCATGTTCGAACACAGCCAGCCTTATTGCTTTTGCACTGACTGCTTCATGCTGCAGCAGCAGAGGTCAGTGACGACAGAGACGGTTTGTTCAGTGAGGCCTGAAGTCTTCACTATGTGTCCTCTACAGAAAGCATTTTCATCTCAGATACAGGTGCAGACAAATCTATTCCTTTTAGACCCTTGCTGTATGATTAACACAAAAACTTGATAGAGCTGAAGTTTTAGGCCCTTTTTATTCATGGTAACTATTATTTCTTCTCTTTTCACAGCCATCCAGTTGAATCCCACCTATATCAGGGCAATATTGAGGAGAGCAGAGTTGTACGAGAAAACTGACAAGCTAGATGAAGCCCTGGAAGACTATAAATCCATATTAGAAAAAGATCCATCAGTTCATCAAGCAAGAGAAGCTTGTATGGTAAAACCAGATTTTTTTCCTGCCTGGTGAATCTTAAATAATCTCTCAGGACATGGCTACATTCCATTTCTTTTTTTTTTTTTTAAAGATTTACTTATTTATGCATACAAGAACTGAGGTGTAGACCAGAGGTGCAAGGGGTGAGAAGATTCACCTGAGACAGTAGGGAGCAGAACAGGCAGATCTACTGAAATACACTGCTGAGGTGAGCAGCATGCGAGACAGGAGAGGTCTGCTGCACCATGTGGGTTCCTCCCTGGTGGGGGATCGAACGCGTGCTGCAGTGGCTGGTGATAGCTTTATAGTGCTATGTCTTTAACCCCTGTGCCACCAGGGAGAACCTTCATTCCATTTCTGTGTTTTTGAGGAGCAGATATATGGGTAGTAGAACTTTTTTCCTTTTCGGCATTGCAAAAAAAATAAAAAGGTCTTAGAGGAATAAACATTAGAAAAGAGGAAACAAGTGTCCCTGAAACCCAAATGTCACATATGTTTAAAATTCAGTCTTATGTACAAATGTTGCATTTAAAAAATTTTAAGAGATGCAAACTCAAGATGGTTTTATTTTGTGAGCCTTGGGGTCTCCCCACTGGGCCTGTAGTGCTTTAGGGGCTGTGCCCTACAGGGTTGGGAATCTACACATCTACCCACCCACCATGCCATTGGGGCTGAAATGTAATAGTAAACGCCTCTCATTCCATGGTGCCACCACATCCAGATGCTACCAGCTACCTGGTGCCCCTCCACTGGCTCTGGCCTGAGATACCCATGGGGTAGCTGTGGCTGAGAACCTCTCTCTTCAGGGCCCCTCAGTTGCACTTAGGAGGTAGCCTGATGAGCAGTAGAATTTTGAAGTGATGGCCATAGGCCAGCTGTGACCATGTACCATTTCATCTTTAGGGTTGACATAAACTTTATTTCATTGCTGGCTTGGGGAAATCCTGTCCACCACAGTTTAGTCCAGAGTGAATCTTAGCATTATAGCTAAAGAAATTGGGCTTCTCTGTGCATCCTTTCCCTTATTTGACCACCAAGTTCCTATTTATTGTCACATGCCCAGCTCATTTTCAGTTGATCACATCCTAAAATAACCTCATCTTTCTTAAAATGACTCTTATTCTGGTCTTTGGCAGCTATAAATCCTTTTGCTAGATGTCATAATTATTTTTATCTCAATTATAAATTCAGTGTTGCTGGCTTTTCCCCCCCTTTAAAAATATTTCTAGATTTGTGCTTGTACCTTTATCACCACTCTTTGATTCTCTCATGCACAGAGCAAGAGATAAAAGTACATGCTACAAAGTGGTTGTGTCTTTGTCGTTACCACTCTAAAGGAATGTAAGACTAGTTCAAGAAATACTGACTGTTAATTAAGCAAGTGTCTTCGCTGCCAGGCTTTTCAGTCATGGAGATTGGGTGGGGGTAGTCTGCCAGGAACCCCAGACTGCAGCAGTGATTGCAGACTAGCCCACAGGAGAGGAAAGCTTAAGCCATTTGTTTTTTAATTGCAGCCAAGGACCAACATTTAAAATGCTAAGCACCCTACAATGCACATGCAACCCCGCTCCAAAATACCAGCGGTGGGCCTCCCTGGTGGTGCAACGGTTAAGATGCAACATATAAAGCTCACCGTAGCCACTGCAGCACGACTTTGATCCCAGCCAGGGACTAGACCATATAGCGCAGCAGAGCTCTCCTGTCTCACCCGCTGCTCCCCTGAGCAGTATATTTCAGTCAGTCTGCCTGTTCTTCTCCCCACTCTGTCTCTGATGAATCCTCTCACCCCCCGCACGTCTGGCCTGTACCCCTGTCCCGTTCTTGTATGCATAAATAAATCTTTAAAAAAAAAAAATACCAGCGGTGCCAAGTTTGAAAAACCCTGAGCTGGATGATTAGTTACGGACATCCAATACGGTTCTGATCCTTTTCTCAAGAAACTAGAATATATTAAAAAAAAGACTTCAAGTTAAAAAGGTGAAACTGTAAATATCACCCAGAATCCCACTGTAAACATCTGCCGTGTATCCTGTGAGACAGTTTTCTGTATGTGCTAGTCACGTTTTTATTGCTCTTCTCCCTGGGCCAAACTATAGCCATGACCCAGCTGACTGCTGTGTTTGTGTGACGCCCACATATCCTTGCTTTTCATTATTTACAGAGTCACAGATAGAGGCCTCACCTGATGGCACTTTAAATGCTTCTCCAAGTCAAAAACAAACATTTCACCAACTCTTTCTTCTCTTCTCCCCTCAGAGATTACCTAAGCAAATTGAAGAACGGAATGAAAGACTCAAGGAAGAGATGTTGGGTACGTCTGCTTTCCTCACTCTCCCTTGACCATCAGTAGCCAGGGGCTTTCAGGATTTTGCTTACGGGAGGGGGCTCCGGGGTGCTCAGGAGTCAGAAACAGCTTTGGGCCCTTTGTTGTAGGCAGCCATACCCAGGTGCTTACTGACCTGTCAGCCCTTTCAGACTAGGAAAAGAGCCGCGCGGTTTAGAGAGGATATCTGCCTTTCAAAAACCAAACGTCCATTTTGTTCTTACTGGGAAGATTTCCTGCCTTCAAGAATTCAAATGTAGTTTGACTCCTACCCTGGTTGGCTGGGTTAATGGTCTCTTCCAGATTTGAGTTTGTACCTTTATCACCACTGTTTGATTCTCTCTAATGCACAGAGCGCAGCTGGGAGCTGGGAGGCAGTGAGTGTAAACTTGGAGGCCAGATGGTGATGCTAACATAGGTCTGTGGACAAGCTTGGGTTACAAAGAGAAAAGAGGCAGTAGCCCTCCTGCAATTCTGTGACTATGCAAGTGTGTGTCTTCGCCAACCTTCTCCCTTTGCAAAGTAGCAACAGCAGCCCTTCTGCCCACCTGTGCCTGTACATGTGTGTCTCTTCGCCAACTTTCTTCCTTTGCAAAGCACTGGCAGCTCTCCTCCCAAGGCTGCCCGCCTGTGACTGTGCAGGCCTCTCTTTTAGCAAACCTGTCCCTCTGAGGGCAGCTCTTTCTGCCCGCTTGTGTCTGTGCAAGTGTCCTTTACTCTCCTCTCCTTTTTTAGAATAAACCTGCCTTTTTGGATATTTAAAAAAAAAAAAAAAAAAGAATGTGGGCTAAAAATCTTTGTCATCATCATTTGCAAATTGTTTTATACTGCTTCCTGGCCAAGCCAGGAGATTGCAAACAAATGGAATTGCTGCAAGTCTCTGTGTGTCTGTGGTGTGGTTCTTCCCTGATCTCCTGTCTTCTCGGTTTATTGAAGTGTGAGAGAGAAGATAAACTCATCTACTTTCTCACAGAGCCTTCAAGGCAGCTTCCAAGGCATCTGGGGCCATCAGCCTGGCAGACTCATCCTTCTAGTAGCTAGAGGTTGGTGTTTGCTGTTAGGTTTTGCTGTCGGACTTCTGCTCCAGATTTCACTCACCAGCTGCCAAACCAAGTTCTCTGCTGGGATGGGTTCTCAAAACATGGTGCCTTGACCAGCACTTCTTGAGAATTTATCCTGACAGCACATTTTCAGATCCTGCCCAAACCATCTGAGCCCCTTTAGGTAACTGGTACACATTAGAGTTCACTGACTGACTGGCGAGTGGTAGGGAGATATAGAGGCAGCTGGGGGACCCTGAGCCAGTATGGGGTTCAAAACCTCTGCTCTGAGTGGACCTCTGAACAGAAGCAGGCATGTCACTGATTCTTCTCTTCACTTCTCATGCTTTAGCTGCCGCAGAGAAAAAGCTGGAAGTACACTCGTGCAGGTGGCTGCTTGCACCTGTGAGCCATCGTTGCCAAACTTTATTTCTGGTGTTGCGTCGGCTCCCTGTGTTGTCCCTCTCCGCCAGGTGGGCAGGTCCTAGGGTTGGAGTCATCACAGGATTGTGCTAAGCTGGGTTTCTACCATTCCTTGAGATGTTGCTGCTCCTGTCTCACCCAAGGGCTGCTGGGTGCTGGTCCTGACCTGGAGACCTACAGCCATGATCACTTATTCCCTGACAGAACCAGTAGCGTGGGCAGGGCCCTGCCCCATGGTCCTGCCTCCCCTTCACTGCACCTGCTGTCATCCCTGCCCAGCACTTGGTCACACACATGGGGGCCATGGTGGTCATCAGTCCAGGCTCATCTCTTTCTACCTCTCGGAACACAGCTCTGGCGTCGTAACCCTGAAGTTACTCTGTTCTTTACCGGCCACTAGCAGCCTGATGAGCCCACGTCTGAGCTGAATTAAGAACACCATCGTCTATGAGTTAAGACACCACATTCAAAAGCCAAATGTGGAGCTCAAGCTACCTTGCTGGTTGTCGTCGTGAGGATTTGAGCATGCTTTGGGCACTCCCTGTGTGCCCCGTGCTCTGTTCTGTGCCTCGTAACCAAGCTAGACTTGGCTCCCTCTCTGGGATGACAAGAAATACTCTGAATCATTACTGTCTCTTAAAACCGCTGAGCCACGCTTGTGAGTGTGGGGAGCCTGACTTTTTACATGCTCCTCTTCATCCAGCCGGCTGGTCCTCATTATGGCTCACGGCCACCCCCAGTGTCTCTAAACCAAGTCCTTGTCGTCATCCCTCCACAAGGAATGTCATTTGTAGGTTTTATTGCCCCACATTGAGTTTCATTCCTCATTGCTGCACCCCATGTTTCTCTCAAGAGCCCCCTACTTTTTTGAGCTCTTGGTCTAGTCCAGCCCCCATTTGCATCCAAGTGCAAATAGAAGCATTTGAATTAAGCATTACTCTGACTTCTCTACTCTGTCCCTCTTGCTCCAAGGAAAGCTTGTGTTAGCTGCCCAGCTGTGTTCCTGCCTCCCAATGGGGTGAATTCTCTCGAAACATTGCTTGACACAGAAGTTAGTATTTGTCAGAATTGCGCCCATCAACAAGCTTGGCACACTTGTGTCTGAGCACACAGATGGGACTGTTGTCTGCCATGGACTCTAGTCTAGCAGAGGATGTCCAAACAGGGACATGTTGATGTATTTATTGACAAGACTGAATTTGCTACAGGTGGAGATAAGGCAACCTCACGGTTACTGTGCGAAGGGGAAGCCCCGATGTTGGCAGCCAGGAGAGAGCCAGGCTAGCTCGGCAGCCTCCTTACTTGGCACAGGGAAGCTGTGTTAGTGTCTGCACAGCAGCGACACTGCACAGCAGCGGGAAGGCCCGTGAGTGTGTGGCTGTGTGTGAGACTGTGAGCGGCCATTTAGGAGCATGGTCTCCACTGAAGGTGCTTCTCTGCCATTTCCCAGCAGTGTATTTTGAGACACCAGGACCTTGACGTCCACACTGTTCCTTTATGCTCCTGCCACCCCTCTCTGGATTCAGAACCTCTTTCCCCAGCACCTCAACAGTCCCATGTTTGTTCCATGACAGATGGCCTTTCGCCCATAGTGTTGCACACTCTGCCAGACCGCTGCAGCACTCCTCTTCTGGTTCATTCTTCGCCACGGGACTGCTAACCCTGAAAGCTCAGGTCTCACACCCTCAGTGGGCTCCCGCCGCCATGCCCAGCTCCTAGAGCTGGACAGGAGAGGCCTCCCACCTGGCTCTCTGCTCCACCCTGGCCTGCCCGTCTCCATTTGTTCCAGCATCTCAGTGCACCACCCACTCCCACCATCACAGATGGTTGCGGTCCTGCCCCTCCTCTCTTGCTTGCTTCCAGCACAGTCTTTGCACAGAAGGTCTGCCTCCCCCTGCCCCAGCTGGAGGAATCGTCCTGACAGTCACAGTATTTTATAGTTCAGCTTCACGTGGACTGGCATCTGTGTGTGTGTCCTGCCTCCCCATCTTGTCTGAGCTTACTGGGTACATCTCTGCAGTCCCACCACACTCATCAGGCTGCCATACGCCTGTTGTATTGGTTCAACATGTTGGTCAAATCCTTGCAAGTCAGGAACCTCAGCTCTCCTCTGACGTGGCCATAGTGAATTGCAGGTCTTTATTTAGATGCTTCACAACCGCCGTGTCACGCAGCAGGCAGAGCATCCCCAGTGCTGTTCTGCAGGGGACAGTCATGAATGGTTGTGGAACGTCATCACTGCAGAGCTACATCACTAGAAGGAAGAGGAAGGCATGCGTAACTGTATGTTTTAGGTGGGGTCCTGGCAGAAACAAGCCAAGATTGGACTTTTGAAGTGCAAGAAATGTATTGGGGGAAAGAACTGCAAAGAGAAATGGACACTGGGCGGGGTGAAGGGGAGCTGGGGTTCTAATCCTGTAGAGGAGAGAGGGATGGCGGGTAGGAAAAGTCTTTCTTTTCCTCCATGCAGGGGCTCCCCACTGGGTCCCAGGGGCACAGAGCTGCCCATTGAGCCCCTGCCCGTACCTGCCCTGTCCCTCCCTATGTTGAGTGGGAGCAGCCCTGCTCTGGAGATGCCCAAGTGGCATGGTGACCTCTGCATCGCCTCTGCCAAGGGAAAAGGTCAGGGTCCTTGGCAGCAGGGCCTTCAGCAGAAGGAGGGTGGGAAGGACCCAGCTTTTTCCCTGTGGCTGTGCTTACATACTACCCGGCTTTGCTACCGTCAGCTTGGACCTCCTCTCTGGTTCTGGCTCCTTCCTCATCTGGTGGTCCTCCCCTGGCTCGCTGGCTGCTCCGTGTCTGTCTCCCTTGCACACTGAGCATCTCAGAAGCTAAGACCGAATTTGATGCCTGTTTCCCCAGCCTCACAACAGACCAAATAAAATGTGCAGTCTGCACTTCAGATGCTGACCTGACGTGGAGAGGGACCTGTGGTGAAGGCTCCTCAGGGAGGAGCACACCCTCTCCCCAAGTGAGGCTCTTTCTCCACTGGCTCCTTGCCAGCAAGAGCCGGGGCATGTCTGCCAGTGATGTGCTGCTGGCTTGCTCTAAGTGCTTGTCTCCTCCTCAGCCCCAAAGCAGCAGGTTCTGGGTAACTTCTGCTTTCCAGGACACCCTGTCTTGTCTTCGTTTGCCATACCCCTCCCCTTTCATCCGCCTCCCGAGCTGGGCTCCAGGCCTTGGTGCTAACCTGTGTGTGGGAGCAGGCCTGTGCAGGGGGTTCCCACACCAGCACTGAGCCGGTGGCTCCAGATTAAGTTTGGGAACTTGCCTGGAGGAAAGTCAGCCTGGGCCCTGGAGTCTCAGACATGGTGAGTGGCTGGGACTGAATCTGCGACTGACTCCAAAAGTTCCCTCCATGAGTTCTTGGGAGAAACCTGAGCGTTTAAGGGCCAGGCATCTTTGGATGTCTTCACCTGGGCTTTATGTCAAGGAGAGAGAGCCTGTACCTCTGATGATGAGGCGTTTCTTTCCCTTTTACCCCCATTCTCATCTCCTTTGGAAGCAGATCGGCAAGAAAAATTAAAGCAGTTAGGAAGGGCTGAGTTTTCATTCACAGCAAGATTTTCCGAAACACTCAAGAATCAAATACTCTATCCCATTGCTCTGCGGATCCCTGTAAGTCTCTCACACGTCCTGAAGTCCAGTGCCGGACACACAGACTCCGGGGCCCTCCTGCGTGCAGACGCCTGAAGACCTGCGGTTATACCACCGTCTCTCTCGGCTGTGGCTCAGGCAGAAGCTCCCCAGGACTTCAGGGCATCTCCTGGAACTGTTCTGAGGAAACTGACCGAGGTGGATGGCACGTGCAGAAGAGCGAGAGCTGCCACTTCCGAGCAAGGCTGGGTTCTGTGTGGAGGCTCGGCCTTTGCGGAGAAAAGCAGGAGGCTTTTGAGTTGGATCCAGGCTGAGGAGAAATGTGCCGACAACTTGGATTAGCAGGGGCTGCCTGGGTTCAGAGAGAGCAGTGGGAAGAATCTCTGCCCTCGGGGCAGGCGTCCGGGCCACCACGCACCCCAAGCCTGTGCCCCTTGGGAGGCACCCGCGAAGGGGACATGGGCGAATAGTGTCATCGTTTGAAAAGCAGGCATTTCCTGAACAGCAGACAGATGCTCTCTTTATTTTGTAGTCAGTAGTAAGACAAGATGAGTCACTGTCTCCCCACTTCTTTCACTCCCCATGTTGATCAGAGTTTCTGCTTTTACATTACAGGCAAACTGAAAGATCTCGGGAACTTGGTTCTCCGACCTTTTGGACTCTCCACAGAAAATTTCCAGATCAAACAGGATTCCTCTACTGGCTCCTACTCCATCAATTTTGTTCAAAATCCAAACAACAACAGATAACAAAGATAACAGTACATGAAAGGCTGGCTGGAAGTTGTGTGCTGCTCGCCATTGGCATAGGCACAGGCCCTGCAAAACTTCACTGTAGACGCATCTTATCTCAGACAGGCTGCCCTGCGCCGGGCGCTGCCCATTCTCCCATCCCCTCATGTATCCTGAGCAGGGTCGGCCGCACCTCCTGTTGTCAGGAGCCTCTTGTGATTTTATTTCAAGGTGGTGTCTGCGCTATTACCCCGGTTCTGTCCCTGGGGTCTGTCCGGGCTGACCTCCCAGAGGCAGCAGCAACACAAGCCCTGTTTGTATCCCCTGGACCCAGCAGACCTGTGGACTGGGGAGATTCTGATGCACCTCCTGCCCACTGCCCCCTCCGAGGCACCCACCGCCAGGCTGCCTGCCGCCTGACTCCTGTGTGGTAATAAACGCTTTCTCTGCTGGTCTGAGCTGGGTGAATTTTGTCCCTCAAAACAGAGCAACAGGCTTCCCTGACTTGGGAGCTGGGCCAGTTCCAGCTCCACAAATCTGCCCAGTCTTAATTGAAGATTTTGAAGAGGTGCCCTTAGCCCCTCATCCTAGAATCCCAACACCCCACCCCTCATACACCTTAAATGCCACCTCCATCATCTAAAGTTAGACTCACTTCACTCGAGAATGGCAGCTTGTGACAAGATCATATGCTTGGAGACCATGGGATGTGGGTTTTTTCCTAGAGATAGTTGATGCTGGTGAAACACTTTCCGGGGATGTGGTTTGCATGTCAAAGCGACCTGCCAGCTTCCCTTGGCAGCGGCAGAAGCGACGCCCACCTGCAGTGAGCGTGGTGGGGTGCTTTGCCAAGCCTGCCTCCCAGGTTAAGATGGAACTCAGCGTGCAGTTTACTAGGGGACAGGGAGGTTAATTTTGCTCTGCTGTCTTCTGCATGTCATTTTCCCAAAAAGGTTGTGAAACCTCACACGAGCTGTGTGTGCACCTGCTTCGGAAGCACAGCCAGCACAGTGTGGGGCTCAGCCTCACATCTTTTGATCAAAGGAGTCTTTCACACTGACAAGATTTGAGGAGCTTTGGTGTCTTTGGATTATATCTATTGGTATAAAACATGTTAGAAAATCAGTATTTCTTAAATACTTAATCTCTCAAAATGAATACATTTCATGTTAATATGTTTAGAAAAATATCTTCTGTGTTGGTGATATTGTTTTACATTTTTGCAAATCTCTTTAATGTGCAACTTGATAGAAGACCGCTAGATTCTCAGGCCCGCTTCTGTCCTCAGTTCATCAGGAGGATGGCACACCCTCATCTTTGGAAAATTGTGCGTGCTCATGATGGAATGACCATAAAAGCAGAGCCCCCTTAGCATTGCTATGAAAAGTTTGACCTCAGGGACACCTGAAAGGGTCTCAGGAACCTGGGGATCCTCAAAGTACCTCGAGAACTGCTTCGCCAAGGCTGAGAAGAAAGGTCAGGACTGAGATCCCTGCAAGGTCGTTTCTGCTTTCAGAGAAAAAGAATTGTTTGCATGGTAACAAGCTAAGACACCAGCATCCCTGCAGGATGGCGCGGTCTTGCTGCTTAGGCCTCCACCTCCGATCCCCCCTCCACCACACAACCCCCTCAGGATACACATGGGGCTGGTGGCGGGTGCGTCTCAGGCGGCACAGTGTGCATCTGGAGGAGAGGAAGGGATCCGAGGTGAGTGTTTGCTTAAGCCAGGGAGTTCTTACCTACACCGTTACCTGAGTCCAAAGTCCAGGAAGACACGTGAATTCAGACCTTTTAAAAATGTCTGACAGTAAAAAAATCTTGAAAGGGTTCAAAGAAGTTCGGGAAGTATACGGGAAGAAGGGAATTAAAAATTGAAATAATGATTTTCTAGCGTTTTATACCTGTCTTTGTGTCCTGTAGCTCAAATAGGTGATTTTAAAGTTCTGTGAGCCTTCCTCTCAAAGTATACACAATTTACTTGGAAGGGAATCACGCAGTGACATTGTATATGCTCTCATTCTAGTGGTACTGCTGTGGATCAAAATACTTTTGCACCTCCTAGAATTTCTTCGAAGACTCAGACATTTTAAAAATACCATATCCTCTGGACTGCAAGTAGGCCCTGAGCTCCGAGAAGGTAAGGGCTCCACTTAACACACCAGCACCTACTGGTTGCGCAGGTGGGCCAGTCTCAGCTTCCAGGCCCTTCTCTTGGTACCTGTCCCTGGCTATTAACCACTCTGTTATCCTCCCCGTAGATGCTAAGACACAGCCCATGATTCAGTGGTGCCTGCTGTTGGAATGGGGGGTGGGGGACAGTGTGGTTTCCCCCTTCAGGCCACACTGACTCAGGACTTCCTGCACCTCCTCCAGAAGGGCCTGGCTCCTCTCCTTCAGCCAGCTGCACCTCTGCCAGGCGGCTTTCTAGGCATTAGATCCAGTAATTGGGCCACAAAGCTTGTAGCCACTTGTGGAATCAACTGTAGCCCCTCGAGCCACCGTGTAACCTCAGATGCTGAGACTTTGAGGCCTGTAAGCTGGGCTGGGTTTTAATCTTTGTATCACAGTAATGGCGAGCACTGGCCTTGAGACTTCAGAAGTCCCCAGCTTGTCCAGGAGCTGTGGCCTCCCAGACCCTCCCAACCCACGTTGCCCTCAGTCTGCTCTGCATTTGTCTCCAGGCTGCATCTTCACAGCCTCCCCAGCGGCACACAAGACCCTTCGCCCCCAGAACCAGGATGGTCCCCACAGAAAGTGCTCGCTCATGTGCTAGGACTCCCGTGCAGACAGTGGACCAATCGCTTCCTTCTCGTGTCAGGGACTGGACCTGTGGTGAGATGCTGTTCTTAGACCTCCTTCGACCCCCTTCCAGGAGCTCCAGGGTGCCCGTGCACCTCCCTGTCCTCACAAGCAGTTTGGGTTTTATTTCCTTTTGCACTTCACCCCCTCCCCCAACCCCTGCCGCACACACACCCCCAAAAAAAATGCCACATCGTATCACCTTACAAATCACTGCTCCCAGGAACAGACTGCCAGGTGTGAGGTGGGGCAGCCTGGGGAGACAAGGCCTCAGACACACTTGAGTCAGAGGCAAGACTGACTGCTCAGGCAAGGGTCAAGCGGTGGCGTGTTTCTGAAGGCGGGGGTGGCTGGGGAGAGGTGGTGGCCCTGGTGTAATTCCTGGGGTGGCTCAGTCCACAGCTACAGCTGTTTGAGGCCACACAGCACTTCAGCTCCACTCCAGCCTGTCTGAGGACCTGGTGCAGGTGGGAGACGTAGTCCTGACGAGGGGACGCACTTGTCAGCAAAGCTTTCACAAAAGAGGGAAGGCCGGGCCTCCCCGGTGGCGCAGCGGGTTGAGCACAGCCTCTTCAGTGCGGGTTTGATTCCGGGCGGGCCAGGGAGATTCCCACATGGCGCGGCAGACCTCTACTGTCTCCCTCGCTGCTCCCCTCAGCAGTGCTTTCAGTTTGTCTGCCTGTTCTGCTCCCCACTCTCTCTGGTGAGTCCCCTCACCCTCCCGTGCCTCTGGCCTGTACCCCCCAGCTCTTACATAAATAAAAAATAAATCTTTGAAAAAACAAGGGAAGGCTGAGAAAGGACCAGAGGATGTGAGGCAGCGGAGTGAGGTCATGGTGCCCCGCTCACCCGAGAGAGATTGGAGAGGGCCCAGCAACCCCAGGGCAGGGTACAGGTCAGAGACACCACGTGGGCAGAAATCGGTTGGCAGCCCTGCCCCTGATCGTGACTGGCTGTACCGGAGAGAGGATCCAGGTGAGAGGGAAGCCCGTGATGCCATGCGCAGCCCAGCCTCCCTAAGCCTCCCATCTTCCTGGGATTTGTGTCCCCTCCCCATTTCCTGCTGTTACCCAACCTGCCCTCCCCTCCTGTGGCGCTTACCCAACCCCTGCCCTTAGCCAGCTCCTTTCAGGGGGGCTCCTCTGCGCCTACATACACGTCAGCCCTCCCATCACCTGCGTGTGCTTTCAAACAGGAGGTGGGTGCACATTTCACCACAGGGGCAGGACATCTGTTCCTGGGGGCGGCCGAGTAAGAGCTGCAGAGAGAGGCTGTCATCTCCAGTCACCCCTGCTGTGTGAAGAGCCACCCTGAGCCCACACTGTTAATGAGAAATGGATCCCCCAGCAGAGCTGGAGGTGCAGATACCTGGAAGGATGTGGGGGGCCGTCAGAGACCCCAGCGGCAACTTATGAAAATGGGTCATGGTGCTCTCCCTCCTGTGTGCAGGCGCCCACCGCATCCTCCTGGCCCAAGCTGGTAAGCGCCCACAGGAAGGGCGGGCACGTGGGTGCTCATTTATACACTCCACTTTTGCCAATTTCAGTCCATAAAAGGAAAATAGGACACCCTGAGCGCCATCACCCCAAAGTCTGATCAGCCAGAACTGGAAACGTGACCCCCTACCTTCTTTTTCCTTTCACCCAAGAGGAGACTGGAAGCCCACATTTCCCCCTTAGCTAAAGCATGGCAGGGTTTGTGGCCCCACCACCAAGGCAACCCACGGCCAACAATTTGGGGTGATTCAGTCCAAGCTGGACACTAGTTCCAGCTTAAAAACCACCCAAGCCCAGATGGGCTCCCTGTGAGGTCAGGGCTTGCTTCTAGACCTTGGGGTGTCATCAAACATGTGAAGGGAACCAACCCAAAGACTCCTCAGGAAACCCTGTTCCAAAAGGGAGAAGCGGTTCCCGGAGCCTCACTGCTCCTCAGTGGGGTGTCGTGCCAGACTCATGTCCACACCAGACACCCTGTGGTCTCACCCCAGCAGCCACCCTGGGCTGTTGAGCACTCAGGTGCCCCCAAATCCCCCGAGAGAGCAAGCACGTCGGAAACCCACAAAGGCAAAACTCCAAGACAGGCTACAAGTTTGCTGGGCTCTGCAGTTCTTGAATTGCGCAGGAGGATTTTCTTAGGACAGTTGGCAAATGCTGCTGACAGCTTTGCCTCGGGGAGTTAACTGAAGGAAAGCCGCTTATGGCTAGGGCCATGTGCTTGGATTGGATTCTGCCACTGGCGGTGACCTGAGCCCAGGAACGGTGGCTTCCGCGTGTAGTGCCCAAGCCATTCCAGCTGGCGGCCCCTTGTGTGGGCCCCCAGAAGCTGCAACTCCATTCCCAAGAGCCCACCCAGCACTGTCCTCTGCAGGTTGCTGCTTGAAGCCCCTGCCTGGGCTTCTCTGCGGGCAGCTCCCCTGTGCTCAGTGTGCATCGTTTGCATCACAGGTTTGAGCCGTCCACTCGGCATGCATGTGAGCTGGGCACTGAGCGTCAGAAGAAACCAGAAATGGAGAATATTCCTCTCGAGGAAAAGCATTCCCTGATGTCTCCAGTGTTTCTGGTCTTGCCTGAGGGGAGACTGCAAAGCTGGTGAGTAGGACACTTGCTCTCCGTACATGGTCTGTGAGGGCAGCGTGATCTTGTCAGGGAAGTCACTGACAGAATTTAGAATCACGTCTCCCACCTTAACACTCAAAGCAGGTTACTTGTATAGTAGCATCTTCCTAGATCACCCCACTTCACTTTCCCTCCTTATATGAGAAGTTTGCTTCTACCAAGGAAGGACAGAGGGTTGACCCTACAAGTGCTGTGAACTGAGGAGCACTTCCTGCTCGGGCACAGTGTTCCTGAGCTGCCTTCTCTGTCCTCCAAGGTACCTTACCTTCTTGAGAGCAGAGCTGTTGTTAAGCCCTGAAATTTCATTCTGGATAACCAAAGATGTGGCAGGATACTAATTACTAGAGAAAACTGCTTAAAAATGTATACCTTGAAGAAAGCACTGAGGGCAGATCTATCACTTGAAGGAAACATGAACTATCAGGTGTAAAGGCAGGAAGAAAGCTTGCCTTGACTTGACCTGCAGCTTCTGCAAGAGTGGTTCCCATGCAGCTTTCCCAGTTCCCATGCAGCTTTCCCAGATCAGGAGCCATGGCTTGTGTCCCTCCCGATTTTTTCTAGTTCCATGTTAATTTATTATTTTTTAAAGATTTTTACTTATTTTTGCATAGAACTGGGGTGTAAGCCAGAGGTGCAGGGGCGTGGTGAGAGGATTCACCAGAGACAGAATGGGGAGCAGAACAGTTGCATCTACTGACATATACTGCTGAGGGCAGCAGCGGGCGAGACAGGCGAGGCCTGCTGTGCCATATGTGGGTTAGCTCCCTGACTGGGGATCGAACTGAGGCCACAGAGGGCCATATGGTCGTAGTCTGAGACTTAACCCGTAGGCCACCAGGGAGGGCCCCTCCATTTTCATTTAAGGGGAAAAATATATTGACAAGGTGTCTCCCTGGTGGCCTGGGGGTTAAGCCTCAGCACTAAGCAGCTATTGGTAGCCACTGCAGCATGAGCTCGATCCCCTGCCAGAGAGCTAACCCAAAGGGCGCAGCAGACCTCTCCTGTCTCCCCCACTGCTCCCCTCAGCAGTGTATTTCAGTAGATCCACCTCTTCTGCTTCCCACTGTCTCTGGTGAATCCTGTCACCACCACCCCCAACACCTTTGACCTAGCCCCAGTTCTTATATGAATAAATGAAAAAAAAAAAAAAACCTTAAAAAAAATATTGATGAGCCAAAGTACAGTGGCCTCTTTTATCCCCTCATTATTATTAGGTAAATTGAAATGAAAATTTGAGCTGAAACTCCATTTAAACTAGGGAACAACAGGCAGCCTTCAAACAAATTGCTTTACTTAAATGGGGGTAAAAAAAGACGTTGACTTAAGTTTCTGGGTAAGTCCTGAAAAACTTCAACTGTCTGGGAGGTTTGAAGGACTAATTTTTTTCCTGACAACCGAGTGTTTCTGGTCAAGCACTGGACCTCACACTGGAGCGGTGGGCTTTTCCAGAAGCAAGAATTTATCCGTAAGGGCAGAACTCCTTAAGAGCAAATAAAAACCCCAGCAGCAGATGTTTAACTGCATTCAACTCTGAAAGGCAGATGATTCGTTTGTGCCCAGGGTTCTAACAGCCCCTCCTCTGTCCTTGGTCACAAAAAGGTCTCACGAGGCACCTTCCCTCCCACCAACAGCGGTTCAAAGCTTGTTTCTGTTCCCTGAAATACAGCCTGTGGTGGAACTTTAACCTTTAAAACCTAACTCCTAAAAAAAGGTTAAATAACTAAATTAAAAAAAATCAAGACTTTATTGGATAAATGTTACACAACATTCTTTAACATTAAGTCTCAGCAGACTTCAAATGAGAATCCATTTTTGTCATTCAAGTCTACAAAATGAAATAGGCTGTGAAGATTTGTAATACAGACAGGTCACATGAAGCAAAGCTTAAATATTAAGCAACTAAAGCAATGAAGTCAGATAGCCACATGGTATGTCTGGATTTTAAATACCAAGTTTCTTTTTAAAATGAGAACTGGTTTGTGAAAGAACATTTGAATATCTTTGATGAGAAAAAAATATTTTGATGTTTAAAACCTGATTTCTCCCAATTCTTTTGCCTTAAATTACTTTGCCCTCATTTCCATCTCTCTACACAAAGAACTCTAGCACTGACGACACCGTCCACCACAGCCTGGGAGTTTCCTGGTGCTCAAGTGAGCCTGAAAGGTACTGCTGGTGTTAGATGTCTGAAAGAACAAGATCCCTGGGGTGGAGAGCGGCGCTACTGTAGTCAGGGGTCTCTGCTCATTCAGATTTGCTCAAATGTATAATGACTTCATAAGGAAGTTTCCAAAAACAATTTTTTAATGCAATCAAAACTGGATTTCTTACAGTGTGGTCAGGATTGGCTCGATAGAAACCTAACTACTTCTACTGTCCTCTTGAGTCGTAAAACCAATCCTACCTGTAGCCAGGTACAGTAAATGTTTGAAAACTCCCACCCAGAACCTTCTGCCAATTCTGAATGTGGGGGTTAAGTCATTCTATACCTATATAGTAAGATTATGAAGTCTGAACACCTGAGCCAAAAGCTCAGTTAATTTTTTGGCATTTTTTTTTTCCTTTTTTGTATTAATATGGGTTATCTTTCTGGTTTAAAAAATAAATCAGTATTGCCACTAAAAAACTTCAGTTTATTAAAAGTATGGCATCTTCAAATATAAAATGCCCTAGAAATGTAGTACTAACAGGTCCATCTGGTTTTGTCAATGTTTTCGCTACTTTAAAAAAGAGAAATTAAGGTTTTTCATACAGTGTACTTTCCAAAGACGAGAAAAGCATCATGGGTCTGTTCCTGCTGCTTGTTCCCCAGAGTCAAGTCCCACCTGAACCCTGTGAGAATTTCCTGCATTTAGGAGGGGCTCTCTATGAGAGGTCCACACCAAATTGAGACACCGTCACCTTTTCTGAACTAGATAAAATCAGGAAGGAGGGAGAATTAAGAATCTTTCTAGCTCAAGAGAATAACTAGCTCTTAGAGTGTGTATTTCCACTCCAAGATTCACACTAGCCTATCTGCTTTGAGTCAGAATTTGAAAGATAATGTAGTTATGAAAATGTGCACAAAAATGTTTTAAATACTGGTGGCAAATAAATACCTCTTAATATGTCCTAACAAGCAAAATAGTCTAGATAATACAGCCCTGCTTTATAAAAGAAAACATCCAAATTTCCTTGGGGGTGGGGTGGGGTGGAGGTTGGGGAGCACTTTACCATCCTTTGATTAGGATGTTACGTGATCTTCTATTTCCACAGGCACCTGAGGGAAACATGGGCCTCAGCATGTGACTATTGCTGTTTCGTAGGAGCCACTGTAGAAATACCTCTGCTCACATCTCAACTGATTAGACATAAACCTTGGAGAAAGCACAGAGTTTTAGTATGAAAAATAATTCAACATTTCTGCCATCATCCCTTGGCCTTTTAGGCCTATCCAAACTACTGACAGCAACTTCTTTTGAACATGAGTTGTATGTCTTCACACGTAAAATTCGAGTGAGTTCTCTGTGTATTTCATATCACTTTTCCTCATTTTGTGCATAAGTTATTGCAAGTTTATTCCTATAAAATAGTCCCCTCATAGCTTTTCTTCCATTTAATCCAGCACAATTTGCAAGTGCCCCTGTAGAGAATATTGGTTTTAACCACTGCCTCAACATTTACTTCTTAGTGCAGCTTTAAAACTGTGAGTCGCCAAATTGCATTCAGTCCTGACGCTCTGGTGCTGTCTGTCATGTGGTGCAGGTCCATGAAAACCGAGCAGCCTGCTAATGTCTTTGTGCTGAAATATAGTAAAGAAAAGGAAAAAAATGTAGTTAAGTACAAGTAATGACATGAGAAAATTGTCCTTGTTAAAGTCCTACATATATTGTGAGATCACACCTGATTTTCTTTTAAATCTGTAA